TTTTATAACTGAAGTTAATCTACTGTTAGCCACTTTTCCGCACTTTCTTTTTATTTTTAACGTGTTTTTTGGGTCATTTCACATTGATTTAAAAAATCGTCGATTTGTAAGCCACATGATGTTCATTCTGTGATAAAAATTGATAGGCACCAAACAATTTTCAATAGTTTGAGTTTTTTCCGTTTTTCTCTACATTATTCATTTGTCGCTTAGTCAAGTGATGCATAATGTGGCCCAATTGTAAGTGTCCTAAATCCAAGATCATAAATTTTTTCAAAGGCTAAACTCATGAGCTATCCATATTTAGTTCTAAAACGAATTGATTTCACTTAAATAAATTGAGATTTAAGATAAATAGATTTTTATTTTATTCAACTCAGCTTAAAGTAGATAAAATTTTCAAAAATAATCCTTAAAACTATTCTTTCTTTTAAAATGGCAAATAATTATAATTAATGGTAACTCTACATATCGGGCAACTACCATTGTTTCTTAACCACTCCATAATGCACTAAAATATAAATAAATAAGTTAAACAATCAAAATTAACAAAAAACATAATTACGTTATTGTGAAATAAATGCCCACACGATAACGGCATCTCATTTTGCTCGATTTGATCTAAACAAATTGGGCATGCATTAATCTCAGATTGAGTATTCTTGTCTGATTGCGAATCATTTTCCCAAAAACGTAAAATATTATTGGTGGCATCATCAATTATGCTACTTTTAAACGTTGATTTTAAATACTCAACGACATCTTCAAGCATTATCTCTTTAAAATTAACGTTTTTTTGGGATTGTACAACTTTAATCGCTCCATTTATTTGCGTAGTCGTACAAAGCGGCAATAAACTTTGAATTTTTGTAACAAAAGTATCAAATTCATCACGAGCTTTTATCTTTTTTAATTTTCGTCGGCTTAATCCACATAACGGGGGAAAATCTTCATCTGATGGCTCTATATATGGTTCAAAACTTTCACATTCTTCGTTTAGAGTTTCATCTGAATTTTCATTAAGATCCTCATTAAAACTATCATTTAAATAATTGAATTCTCTATGTGGTTGAGGTAAATCATTTGAGTAATAACCACCACCACATGCTTCATCTTGAAGACCCCATCCTTGAAAAAAATTGAAATCTGGATTATTTTGATTCCTTCGTTTATTGTTTCTACATATAGTTATTAATTTCGCAATCAAATCAAGCATTAAATTTGGTTGTTCAGTTACGTTTGGTTCCAATACATAATCTGTACTTAATATTTCAACAAACTGATTGGAGTGTAAAAGTCGTAGAATTTGTTTGTGTCTTTTATCAATTGATTTGTTGTAATGTTCAGCTTCGTTTTGATAGTGTGATATAGTCCAAGAAAGATGATCCACATCCTCTTTTAAATCTAACTTTATAAAATCGGAACGTAACGCTGTTAACATTGCATCAATACTTTGTAATTTTTGTTTGGTTTGTTCTCCTGTGGTTTTTTGAAGATGATGGAGAGAAGTAAAAGCAGATTGTATGATCTCCAACATAGTAGTTTCATGATCGATATAATTTTCTCTTAAAAAATAAATAAATAAAGATAAAATTAAAACGATTAAAATAAAATAAATAATAATAATTAAAAGAAGACGAGAAGATACCTTGATTCTTGTATTTCATCTTCAAGATGATTAATTTTATTTTGAGCAGCTTTAAGATTCTAATTAACAAAAAAATTATCATGTTATTAAATCAGTACTGCATACAGTTAGTCACAAAAGACTACATTCACAACCTAAAAGAAATGGAAGCAAAAAATTTGCTCCCAATCTTAGAAAGTTATTTTAGAAAGAAAGAAGCAGAAAATATAACGTTGTAGGCTGCGTTAAATGGTTATAGATTGTGGGATAATGAAAAACAAAAAATTATTATAGTATTATTTGTAAAATCATTATTTTACAAATGAGGAACGAAAATGATGAACAAATTAAAGAAAAAAACGAAACAACTCAGGAAGTCCAAAAGGAAGAAGATCATGATAGAAGGGGACAAAGAACAAGAAAACCACCTGTAAAGTTCAAGAACTAAGTGTATTTGACATTTGATGAAGTAATAAATGATGAAGACAAGAAAAAATGGTTATATGCAATAGAAGAAGATTGAAGTGGAATCAAGTATAGGAATTAGTAAAACGCGAAGAAATTAAGGGACAAAAGGTATTGAGTAATAAATAAGCTTTATAAGGAACTTATAAAGCCAGAT